TTGGCTGGTGGATGGGCTAGGCCCAGCCACAGCTCATTAGTCACACAACATGGTTGGGGCCTTTTGGGACCTGGCTCTAGGAGTCCTGCATAGTGGGGAAGGGCTCTCCTGGGGCAGGTGCTTCCTGTGCAGGGGTTGTGGGGTCAACAGAGAGGTCCCCCCCCCCATGCTGTCTGGGGCACTACAGCAGGACAGCACATTCCTCTTGGGATGCCCCATCACAGGGAAAGTGGCCCATTGCTTGGATCCTGCTCAGCCCCCTACCACTAACCCTCCCCCGATCATACATGTGGTGCGTGACATCTCCCCATCACACCCAGTGTGAGCTCATGTTGCCCCCAGTAGTGCCCAAGGGTTCCCCCCATCCCTCTTTCAACAGGGCCACACCATCTCCCTGTACTAATACCTGATGTGTGCCCCTACCTCAACCCCTGATAACACCCAGCCTGACACCCCCAGCAACGCCCGATGGCTCCACACCCTCTCTCGCATACTTCCCAGACAGGGTCCCTGGAGCAGGGTGATGAGGGCATTCCGGGCTCTGGGTCCCAGGTCCACAGGCCCTCATGCGTCAACACACCTGGGGTGGGGGGACTCTATCGTGGACACGGTTATCCAGGGAGGGGGAGCTGGCTGGGGGGTGTCTCTGGCTGGGAGGAAATGGGTGTAGGGATGTCTGGCTGTAGGGGCAGGGAGGTACCCCGGGGAGGGGGAGAGATAGCCACAAGGTATGTGTGTCTGGCCGGGGGGAATGGAGTAATCCCAGGGGGATGGTGTGTGGGGAGTGTCTGTGGCTGGGGCATGGTGTAATCCCCTGGGTAATGGGATCTCTGGCCAGGGGGATGGTGTGTGGGGAGTGTCTGTGGTTGGGGCATGGTGTAATCCTCAGGGGAATGGATCTCTGGCCAGGGGGTTGGTATGGGGGGTGGTGTCTCTGGCTGGGGCATGGTGTATTAGGCAGCAGGTTTAAAACAAACACAAGGTAGTACTACTACACACCACGCACAGTCAGCCTGTGGAACTCGGTGCCAGGGGACGTTGTAAAGGCCAAAACTATAACAGGGTTATAAAAAGGATTCGATATGCTCATGGAGGATAGGTCCATCAGTGGCTATTAGCCAAGTTGGTCTGGGGTGCAGCCTCATGCTCAAGTTGCCTCTGATGGCTAGAACCTGGAGCTGGACGACAGGGGATGATCACTTGATGATTTCCCTGTTCTCTTCATTCCCTCTGAAGCACCTGGCATTAGCCACTATCGGCAGACAGGACACCAGGCTAGATGGACCATTGGTCTGACCCAGTATGGCCATTCTTATGAATGGTGTGGGGGGCTGTGTCTGACCAGGGAGATGAAATAATCCCAGTGGGATGCTGTAGGGAGGTCTCTGTTGAAGGGATGGTGTAATCCCAGGCAGATGTTGTAGGGGAGATTCTGGCGGGGCGGGGGAGGATGGTGTAATCCTAGGGGGATGCTGTAGGGGGATCTCTGGATGGGGGGGGGGATGGTGTAATCCCAGGCAGACGCTTTAGGGGGGTTTCTGGCTGGGGGTGGGGGGATGGTGTAATCTCAGAGGGATAGTGTAGGGGGAGTCTCTGGCTGGGGGATGGAGCAATCCCAGGTGGAGGATGGGTGTCTGGCTGAGGGATGGGAGAGTTTGGGGGGGTAGTTAGCCTGTATCCTGAACGTTTGAGGTATGTAGGAGTCTGTGGGGTGGCTGGGTCCATGGTGTGAATAGTTTTGGGGAAGGAGCGTTCCCCCAGCATTTCCCGATGTGTGTTCTGTGCTGGGGGGCTGTACCCACAGGGCTGCAACTCACCCAAGCGAGGAGACATCTCCCTGCCCAACTTCCCCCATCTACTCTCCCTCACTGCCCTCAGGATGGGGGGGAGGGGCAATGAGAGCACCACACCTGTTTCTTTTTGTATCTGTCTCTCCTCTTTCCTCTTCCTGGGTCTCTAACTCCCCTTCTCCCTGCCCCCCACACCTGCTTCCCCACTCTGGGGATGGGATGGGCCCCGGCACAGACCCCAGCCTCTCCCAGTCAGTCCTAAGGCCGGATCCCCTTTCACACTGGTTCTGAAATGGGATAACCCAACGCGGTTATTCCTGAATTACACCGAGCAATCTGTCATATTGATTAGGAGGTTAGAGCAGGGGGCTGGGTGTCAGGACTCCTGGGTTCCATCCCCAGATCTGAGAGGGGACTAGGGTCCAGTGGGCTGGAGCAGAGAGCCGGGGGCTGGGAGGCAGGATTCCTGGGTTCTTCAGTTGTTGCACTTGGTTGCTCTGGGCCAGTCCCTTCCCCTCTCTGCCTCCCCCTTTGGGCCCTGCTGCCAATGGAGTGAGTTGGGCAGGTTTCAGCAGATGAGTGGAGGTGAGGGGAGTCTCCTTGCTCCCCATGAGGGAGCTGCTGGGGATCCCAGCAGGGTGAGGAGCCCCCCAGGTCACATTCAAGGGCAGGCAGCGCATCATCCCCATTCTTCAGGACTGTGGGGACAGTCCAACCGCTTGGAGCTACTCAGGTCAGCTCCACCGCCCCCTGATTTCCTCCCCCTACTGCTCTCCCCTTGCTGCACAAGCCTCTGCCGTTTGCTCCTTCCTGCCCCAGGGCACCCGCCTGCCCACACATCCACAGGCATCTCTGACTTTGGCCTCCATTTTCTTTCTGATTCATTCATTCTTTCATTCCTTCGTTTTCTTAGATTCACTCTCACATTCCTTTGTTCTTCGATGCACTCATTCGTTTACTCCTTTCTTCCTCCTTTCCACTGTATCCATTCGGTTTTTGGCTTAGTTCTTTCTTTCTTATTTCTTCATTCATTCTGCCTTTCTTTCCAATCCTTGATTGATTCGTTCATTCTCTCTGGTCTTTCTCATTCTTTCTATCTTTCTTTTTTTCTGATTCTTCCTTTCCTCCACCTCGTTCGTTCCTGCTCGAGCCCTCTATCTCCCTTGTCTCCCTGACCCCCCTCACACGCCCTCTGTCACCTTCATCTCCCTGTACCCCTTGCTCGCGCCCTCTATCTCACCTCCCTGAGCCTCCCTAACGCCCGCTGTCTCCTTCATCTCCCTGAGCCCCCCCATGCCCTCTGTCTCCCTCATCTCCCTGAACCCACCCAGCTCACGCCCTCTGTCTCTTTCATCTCCCTGAACACCCCTCGCTTGCGCCCTGTCTCCCTCATCTCCCTGAACCCCCCGCTCGCGCCCTCTGTCTCCCTCATCTCCCGAATCCCCCTCACTCCCGCTGTCTCTTTCATCTCCCTGAACCCCGCCGCTCATGCCCTCTGTCTCCTTCATCTCCCTGAACACCCCCCTTGCACCCTCTGTCTCCTTCATCTCCCTGAACACCCCTCGCTCGCGCCCTCTGTCTCCCTCATCTCCCTGAACCCCCCGCTCATGCCCTTTGTCTCCTTCATCTCCCTGACCCCCCCCTTCGAGCCCTCTGTCTCCCAGAAACTCCCCCCTGCTTGTGCCCTCTGTCTCCCTCATCTCCCTGAACCCCTCCCCCCCACTCGCACCCTCTATCTCCCTCATCTCCCGGAAACTCCCCCCCACTCATGCCCTCTGTCTCCTTCATCTCCCTTCACCCCCCCGCTCGCGTCCTCCGTCTCCCTCATCTCCCAGAAACTCCCCCGCCCCACTCGTGCCCTCTGTCTCCTTCATCTCCCTGAGCCCCCCCAGGTTGCACCCTCTGTCTCCCTCATCTCCGTGACCCCTCCGCTTGCACAGTCACGCTGACTTTCCCCTGCTTGTTCTATCTCACACTGACTCCCTGCTGGCTGTCGCTCTCTCTCACACTGACCCCCCCACTCAGGCTCGCTCTCTACCATACTGAACTCCTTGCTCCTGCTCTAGCTCATTGGCCTCCCCACTCTGCCTTGTGCTGGCTCAGCACTTTTGCCTCAGGCTGATGCTGCTCCCAGTGCCAGATGCCCCACATCCTGGCCTGAAGGGGCAGACACACCTGGGGAATAGGCCAACATGAGCCATGAGGGGGATAGGAAGCAGCGGAGATGCCTGTCCAACTCCGTTAGCCCTCGTCTTGTGCTGAGATGCAGCTGCCTCCGGGGGCTGTTTATACACAGGTCTCTCATCCGGTGTTGAGATGTAGCCATCTCTGGGGCGGGACGTGGGGGCTGTTTATACAGGGATCTCCCACCAGGCATGGAGGTGCAGGAGCGTGTGTCCCAACCTCCCCTGAAGGATCAACACTCCCTCTTTGCTGTCTCTGAGCAGGGCTGATGGGGTGATGGTTTGGGGATTATACAGTATCCCAAAGTGACCTGAAAGTGTCACTGGGTGTCTCAGGGTGCCCCAAAGCTTGGGAGGGGAGTGGGGGTGAAGGGCCAGTGCCCCCTGGTTCCTGGGCCTTGAGACTTGCTGTATCCTGCCCCCAGGGTCGCAGGGAGAGGCGGGGGTGGGACAGAGGTGCAGGCTAATTTTCCCCTCCCTTGATTTGTTTGTCAAGTGCAGAGGGGCAACCTGAGAGGGCCTTGCCCTGCAGTCCCTAGCCCCAGTCCCAGCTTGTGACCCTTCAGTAACTTCCCCCCCCCCCACCCCCCCGCACTCAGGAAAGGCCCATCAGAGGGTGGGCTGGCCCTTTTAGGGAGTGGGGCTTGGCTGATGAGCTGGAGGGAGGTGGCAGGCGGGTTAGCTAAAAGTGAAAGCTGGGGCGGGGAGAGCTGGGTAAGGGCTAGGCTTGCTGTGGGTTCTGTTCTGTGGGGTCAAAGTGGGGCTGAAATCTGGAGGCTCTTGGGAGTGGGGGTAGGTACCTGCGCTGGTTTACCAGACTCTACAATAATAAACCAGTGTCCAGTGCGTAGGAGAGATCTACAATAACAAACCTAGTGACATTTCCCCAGCCCTGTGGCTGTGTGCGGGTATTCTGCGGGGGCTGGGGAGGGTGTCTCAGCAGCTGCAGTGTGGTAATGGGGGTATCGGCAGCTGGTGGGAGGGTTGTTAGTGCCTACTCCCTAATCCTGTGGTTCTGCTTTTCCAGTAGGGTCCATTCTGTACTCGGAAGGGGGGGAAGGGAGAGGAGCCAGTGAGGTGCAGCACACATCGAAAGGTCAGTGCAACCCACCGCCCCCAGAGAGACAGCTCCCCACGGGTCCCCCTCATGCTTCTCTGCAGTCAAGTGTTCCACTCTCCTGAGGCTGAGATGCAGCCGTCTCTGGGGTGGTGTCTGGGCCCTGTTTATACCGAGACCCTCTCCTAATGCAGCCACCTCTGGGGTGGGGCGCAGGGGCAGTTTATACAGGGATCCCTCTGCCGGCGCTGAGATGCAGCTGCCTCTGGGGTGGGGCATGAGGGCTGTTTATACAGGGATCCCTCACCTGGTGCTGAGATGCAGTTGCCTTTGGGGTGGGGTGCGTGGGCTAGTTAAAAGCAGCATTACAGGCTAGTTTAGCACAGGAACTGAATGGGGGAAACTTTTTGTATCTGATAGAAAGCACAGGAGGGAATTTTAGGGAGGCAGATTTCTCTGGGCTGGGATTTAGCCAGAAAGCTAGGGGTTTGCAGCAGGACTCATGGGAAAAGTGCTAGAGGATATTTAATGACCCAGAACAGTCAGGTCCTTAGTTTATATCTCATGTGAAAGAAAGACCCTTCCAGCACCACAGCGCCCCCTAGCGCCATGCTGGGGTCAGCACTGACTGTGAGGGGAAAACACCCCTGTTCAGCTACCTTCCCCACTGCCAGCACTAGTGCGCCTCCTAGCACTGCCTCCAAGAGCAGAATGCTCCCTAACAATTCTCCCCTTGATGTGAAGATGATAAATACCTGGTGTGCCCAACCCCAGAGGCAGCTGCATCTCAGCTATGGGTGAGATATCCCTGTTTGTATGTCTCCTAGCAAAACAATTTATACCTCGATTGTTTAAGAGAAGGTAGGATTATTTAGTACCCCTCTACCCCGATATAACACGACCCGATATAATATGAATGTGGATATAACGCGGTAAAGCAGTGCTCTGTCAGGGCGGGGCTGCGCACTCCGGCGGATCAAAGCAAGTTTGATGTAACGCGGTTTCACCTATAACGCGGTAAGATTTTTTGGCTCCCGAGGACAGTGTTATATCGGGGTAGAGATGTAGTTAGATTAGTGGTGACTGGGAGCCAGGAGTCCTGGTTTCTATCCCTGGCTCTGGGAGGGGAGTGGGACCTAGTGGTTGGGGGGGGGGCAGGGATTGGGTTGAGCGTCAGAGCTCCTGGGTTGTATCCCCAGCTCTTCCACTGACTTGCTGTGCACTTCCCCACTCCATGCCCTTGTGCTGTTCACCTCTGACATATCCAGGCCAGGGGCCTCTACTCCAGGAACCCAATGGAGTAGAGGCAGTTGTTCATTCAGGGATCCCTCACCCAGTGCTAAGATGCAGCTGGCTCTGGAGTGGGCCGTGGGGGCTCTTTATACAGGGATTTGTTGCCCGGCACTGAGATGTAGCTGGCTCTGGGGTGTGGTGTGGGGGCTGTTTATATACAGGGATCCTCCAACCACCTGACTCACCCCAACCCCCTGGTGGCTACATGCCAGAGCTGAGCATACTCTGGGTATTCTCTCCTTCCCGCTTCTTGCTTCCCCCTGCTCTGTTGCAGGGACTGTCTTAGTTTTGCTCCAGGGAGCACAAAGCACATGCTGATCCAGCTCTGTTCCATCTCCTTGGCCTTGCTGCCCACAGTCACGTCTTTCTGGGCTGAGTGTTGGAAACTGTGTGATGAGCCCGGTACTGAGAGAGATACCAAGAACCAGGGATAAAACCCAGGAGTCCTGACGTCCAGCCCCCTGCTCTCACCACTAGACCCCACTCCCCTCATAGAGCTGGGAATAGAACCCAGGACTCTTGGCTCCCAACCCCACTCCCCTTAAGCCCCACTCCATTGTTTGGCAGGCTCTTTGTCCTCCACCTATTTGGACTGGTTTTCGGGGGGTGTCTCTGGTGTAGTGTCTGGGAGAGGGTGTAATTCAGGGGTCATGGTGACCTGGAGCCAGAGGCTGAGTACTTCATTGTGGGGGGTAGTTTGGGGTGTGTGTGAGAGAGAGAGACACTGCATTCACATGTGTCACTGTGACTGTGTGACAGTGAGTGTGACTGTCACTATGTGAGTGTGATAGTGTGTTTGTATCTCAAGTTTGATAATGTGTGTGTATAAGCATGTGTGACTGTGCATGTGGGAGACTGTTTTCTTGCATGTGAGAGCATCATGTAATTGTCTCCAATATGAGAACATGTTTGTGTCTCTCTGCCTGTGGGTGTGATTGTGAGTGTATGCTTTTATCTCTAGTGTGATTGTGGATGTTTGTGGGTGTGACAGTCTGTGACTAGGACTGTCTTGATACATGTCTGTGGGATTGTCTCTCTGTAGGAGATTGTGCACGTGGCTGATTGTGAGGTTTTGTGTGTGCATCGTTGTGTGATTGTGTATGCTGTGTGATTGTGCACGTGAGACTGTCTATATGATAGTGATTGTGTGTTTGTGGATTGCAGTTGTGTAGCTGTAGGTGGTTGTGATTGTGATTATGTGGCTGTACGATTGTGGTTGCATAGCGGTGGACATACTGCTCGGCGGCACCCCGTGCCAGTCCCTGCATTGCAATCAGCCTCCCCTGGCCTGTTTGGAGAGAGCCAATTCCCAGCCTCAATATTTAATTAGGACGTGAGCAATTAATACGTCCCGCCCGGGTGAGGGGAGGGGGGCTCCCGGGGATCGTTAACATTAATGATGCATTCAATACAAACGAGAGGCCATTAATATACAAAAGGCTCTGATTGATTTTAATCAGGAGGTTCTGGAAGGAAAATATTGTGGGCAGGCAGGGCTGACAGATGACATTGCCCTGCATGCAGCTGCCTCTGGGGTGGGGCTGGGGGCTGTTTATATAGGGAACCATGGCCCTGTCCATAGATGCAGCTGCTTCTGGAGTGGGTCATAGCAGCTCTGTATACAGAAATTGCTTACCCAGTGCTGAAATTCAGCCACTAATGCGAGAGGGCGCTGCACAGACCCCGACCCAGATCGGGACTCCCATCACGCCGGGTGCTGCTCAGACATACAGTGGGAGCCGGTCCCAATCTCCTCAGACTGTGGATGTTTTATTCTCTCCCATTTCCAGATGAGGCCAGGAGAGGGGCAGTGCCATGTGGTTTCTCGGGCGCTTGCAGTCAGCCCCCCAGTTCCCGGTATGGGGTGCACCTTGTGGTCATTTGGTCCACGTAACACCCAGGTAGCAGGGAGCCAGCGATGACGGAAGTGGCGGCTCCTTGGTGTATTGGGGAGGAGATCTGTCTCCCCACCTCTTTCCATTTGTCCTGTTGTGTGTCATTCCCCGAGCTGTGAGCTGTGCCCCGGCCCCCCTCTGCTGCTGGCTGTCCCCTCTGGGGTGCAGGTTCTGGGTACCCCAAGGGTGTCCTCCTGTCTGTGTAGATTTGGTGAGTGGCTGGAATCAAACAGCATGGGGGGGAAGTAGAGGGGAGGGCATCCTGTGGCAAAGTTATTGATAAGGCGTCTGGCTGGGCAAAATGTGTGGATCTCTGAGTAGGCTCAGAGTGTGTGTGTCTATGCACAGGGACGCGTGTGGGGTGTAACGTGTGTATGCGCTGTGGTGAGTATCTGTTGATGGGCTCAGCCCTGCAGGGCTCCAGCATCTCTGTGTGACCATGACTCCGTGGGCATCTCAGGCTGGGGGAGGGGATTTGATATTTCCTGGCCATGGCAACAGCTGAGGGTTGGGGGGCATGCAGGGCCCTCCTAACCACACAGCTCAGTCACCCAAAGGCCCACAGTAAACTGCTGCTACAGTGGTGCATGCAAGTGATTGGGCTGTGCCCACGCACCCGGAGACAGTCAAGAGCCAACAGCCGCAGCCATGCAACCATAGGTGCTGGAACTAGGGGGGTCCTGCCACACCCCCTGGCTTGAAGTGGTTTCCGTCATATACAGAGTTTACAGTTTGGTTCACTGGCTCTCAGCACCCCCACTATACAGATTGTTCCAGTGCCGCTACCTGCAACGGGCTCCTGGAGCTGCACTAGCACGTTCAGGGCACAGCTGTAGCAGCACATGCAATTCGGATTGCACGACTGCATCCACCATCGCCTGCAACAGAACAAGCAGCTGCACAACTGGTAGCTGCAACAGCACAGCTGCAGCCGGCCAGTCATGCAATGGCAACTGTGCACTGTGCTCACCCCACTGTGTCCTGGTGCAGCTGCAGCAACACACACACACTGCTGCAGAGGCAATCACATTTGCAGGCTGGTAGACAAAACTATTCCCACACCAATATCAGGGCACATGCATGTGTTCACACACACAATGGAATGTGCCCAAATGCACAGTGTTTCACTCTTACACATGCACACAATTGAGCATATGAAAATGCACAGTCGCTCACACATACACAGCTCAACACGCACAAATACACAATGCAAGTAATGTGCACCTACATGAGGCACACAGCAGACGGCACAGCACACACAAGAGCCGGCCGGTCCCCGGGGGAGGGCTGTTGTGCGTGTGTGTAAGATATCTCCTGCAGACACTCACCTCATGCTTTATCTGAATTGTCGCACACTTGAAAACTCCCTCCCATCTGTCTCCTCCGTGCTGGGGATGGGGCGATATGGCTGGGGGAGCTGGAGTGCTGGCAGGGAGACACACGGCTCTGGGATTGCTAGCTGCTGTGATTGAAATTCTGCAATGCCAAGGAGGTGTGTAAAGAAGGAGCATGGAGCACATAACTGCACAGCATCACACACAACACATCACAAACACATGACACACTCACACCCTCCACACAGCCCCCTCCATCCTACACAAATACACTCACCACATTGTATGCACATACGTCCCCCCAACAACTCAATCCGCGTACACGCCCAGTGCATCTTGTACAAATACACACTCACTCGGGCTCCCAACAGTGCGTACAAACCACACGCCCCGGTGGCACATACCAACTGCACAGCCTAAAGCACAGAAAACGGTTGCGTGCAGAAAACAAGCCTGCAGCCCCCGAACCACGCCCGCGCCCCACACGCTGTCTAGCCTAGGGATGTCCATATATGCA